TGTCCATTAGCGCATCCTGCAATAGCAGATTTTGTATACCATTCAAATGCTTTTTTTTCATTTCTATCTGTTCCTTTACCATACTTATAAAAATTTCCCATATTATTTTGTGCAGTTGAGTTATTTTCTATTGCAAGTTTTAAAATTCTTTTAAATTCTCTTTCATTTTTGTTCAGAATGATTTTAAAATATTTATTTTCAGACTTTAAAAACCATTTAAGTGCTTTTTTTTTATCCTTTCTTACTCCTTTTCCATCCATATAACAAATTGCTAAATTATATTGTGCTTCTAAATCACCCTTTTTAGCTAACTTTAGGCTAATTGCTAATTTGTTTTGTTTATAATTGATATCTAAAATAATATCTTTATAATAAAATAATGATAATAAATATTTTCCAATAATTATATTTTTATTTCTTAATGAAACAAATGAATAATCGAAATCATTAATTATACATAATTTGTCAAAATCTTCATTAAAAGAAGAATCATTTTCAATTTCATTATTAATAGATAAAAAATATAAATTCATTGCCTTTTCTTTATCTATATCACAACCAATACCAAGTTGATAAAAAAATCCTATAAAACTTGTGAACCAAAACTTACTTTCTTTATGATTTTCCATTATCTTGAGAACTTTTTCAGGATTTTTGTTGTTACTTTCAAGAATATATTTTATCCATTCATTTGAACTTATTTCAAAATTATTAAAATCATTTGTTATAATAATTTTATAATAAAAATCCTTTAAAAAATTTTTTAAAAAATTCTCATCATCTTTATTCATCATTTTAATTTTTTTTTTTTTTTATTTTTTTTTATTTTTTTTTTTTAAAAAAAAGAAATATGGAAAAAAAGAAAACTCGTCGTATACTGTATAATTCATTATTTTATTTAAATTAGTTTAGCGATCAACATGGCTACGCTCGTATTTGGATATTACGTATAACGTATTACGAAAAATATTTATAACTTTGGTAGGCATTTATAGTTAGTTAACTCATCCAAATGCTGGTCACTATCGATGCTAACTAATTTACGTAACACGTCTAAAAAATAAATATATATATAATTTTTTTACATTCAATAAGATAACACTCTTTAATAATTCTATTGGCAACGTTTCTCTTAGAAGCAAACGACATAATCTTTCAAGTCTGAAAAGATGAAGCTTATACGACGTCTTGGGACATTGTTGTTAATTTCTTAAATAATAATCTTTTCTAATTTTAAAAAGAAATAGCTTAAACTTATTTATTGTAATTTAAAAGAAAAAACTTAAAATATATGTAAAGAATTTACAAAATTACAAAATTACATCAAGTAATTTAGTGAATACCTAATAAAATATCATTAATATATTCTTTGCTTCTTTGATTTCATTATCTAATGCTTCATTATACCAATAAATTGCTTTGTCATTATAAGTTCCATTACTTTAATAATAACAATCCTCCTATATAATCTTGTGACAGATGATTTCAAATACCATTCAAATGGTTTTTTTTTCATTTTATACTGTTCCTTTACCATGCTGATAACAATCCCATAAATTATTTTGTGCCATTATATTTTAATTCTCAATTGATTTCAAATATCATTCAAATGCTTTTTTTCTCTGTTCCCTTACCATATTTACAATAAATGCCCAAATTGTTTTGTTATATCTCCATTTTCTGCTGATTTCAAATACCATTCAAATGCTTTTGTTTCATTTTTATCTGTTCCAATACCATTTGCGTAACAATATCCTAAATTACATTGTGCATAACTGCATCCTGCAATGGCTGATTTTAAATACCATTCAAATGCTTTTGTTTCATTTTTATCTATTCCTTTACCATGCTGGTAACAATCCCCTAAATTATTTTGGGCCATTATGTTTCCATTTTCTACTGATTTTAAATACCATTCAAATGCCTTTGTTTCATTTTTTTCTGTTCCTATACCATTTGCATAACAAAATCCTAAATTGCGTTGTCCTTCAGGACATTCTGCATTAGCTGATTCAAAGTACCATTCAAACGCTTTTATTTCATCTTTATCTGTTCCTTTACCATACTGATAACAATCTCCTAAATTATTTTGTGCCGTCTCATTTCCATTCTCAGCTGATTCTGAATACCATTCAAATGCTTTTATTTCATCTTGATCTGTTCCTATACCATTTTCATAACAATATCCTAAATTACATTGTCCTTCAATACTTCCACCCTCGGCTGATTCTAAGTACCATTCAAATGCCTTTGTTTCATCTTTATCTATTCCAATACCATTTTCATAACAATATCCTAAATAACATTGTCCTTCAACATTTCCACCATCAGCTGATTTCAAGTACCATTCAAATGCTTCTATTTCATTTTTCTCTGTTCCTATACCATTTTCATAACAATATCCTAAATTACATTGTCCTTCAACATTTCCACCATCAGCTGATTTCAAGTACCATTCATATGCTTTTTTTTCATTTTTATATACTCCTTTACCATTCTCATAACAATATCCAATATAATTTTGTGCTAACGGGTTATTTGCTATTGCAAGCTTTAAATCCCTTTCAAACTCTTCCTTTTCATGTTTATTTAGTATGTCTAGATATTTACTTTGTTCAGATTTTAAAAGCCAATCGAAGGCTCTTTTTTCATTCTTTTGTATTCCCAATCCATCCATATAACAAATCGCTAAATTATATTGTGCATCCGAATTACCTTCTTTAGCTAGTTTTAAAAGCTTTATTGATTCATTTTGATTACTATTTTCTGTACGATGATTATAATTAAAGCCTTCTATATCTAAAATAATATCTTTATAATAGAATAATGATAATAAATATTTCCCAATGATTATATTCTTATTTTTTAACGAGTTAAATGAATTAATATTTACTTCAATTAAATGTAATTTATTAAATTCTTCATTTAAATTATTTTTTTCAATTTCGATATTAATAGTCAATAGATATAATTCTAGCGCTTTTTTTTTATCTAAATAATTTCCAATACCAAATTGATAAAAAATTCCTATAATACTTGTAAACCAAAATTTACTTTTTTTATGATTTTCCATTAATTCAAGAATTTTTTTTGAATCTTTATTATTTATTTCAAGATAATTTATTATCCATTCACTGAAAATATCTTCAAAATTATTAAAATCTTTCATTTCAATAATTTTACGATAAAAATCTTTTATAATATTTTTTAAAAAATCTTTATCATCTTTGGATAAATTAGTATTCATGTTGGTATTATTATCTAACAAATTTGACGACATTAGTATTTTAAAAAAAAAAAAAAAAAAAAATTTTTTTTTTTTTTTTTTTTATTGATTTAAAGTTCTTAAAACGAATTACAGTACATAAAGAAAGTTCTAAACTTTTGAAACTTTGAGGATTGGTTAGTACAACATTTGTGCCACCTCCTTATTTTTAAAACCTCAGCATGCTGTATTGCTGTAATATCCTTTTAAAACTGATCTGCATTCACGAGCTTTTAATTCAATTTTTCCTAACAGGATTTCCGAAAAGTAATTTTGGCTTGCGTTTGGGTAAAAAAATTTTACTATTGTAAAATTCCGGCTGACATTAATTAAAATGCGTAGATCTAAAAATATATCTGAAAGAATGCATCGACTATCTTTTTCTATATTAATTCTTATGTACCTGCTGTGATCAAAATAAATACATCATCGCTTCCATTTATTGAGAAGTTGTTTGGAAATTTGAATGATGAATTCACGTGAAAATGTACAAAATAAAGACATGAACAATGATAATGTTTTCCTATAAATATACATTAAATATGATATATATCTTGGCATCCAATTATTTAACCAAACAAGTTATACTCAATTAAAAGCTCTATTTGAGTAGAATCTAATATTAGCTAAGTTATTAATTTTTTTTTTTGTAAATTGTCAGGTGAAATTATACCAAAATAAAGATGATTCTAATGACATTAAAATAAAAATTATTATTGATAAGGAGTTAAAAAGGTCCCATACTCTCAGCACCTTTCAGATTTTTGAATAATAAAATTTGTCTAACTATAAAATAAATAATGATAAAATTTTGTTGTTACTTAAAATTCTTTAAATTATGATATAAAATAAATAAACAAATAAAGTCATACCAAATTTTGCTAAACTTTTACAATTTTTTTTTTGAAACTTTACTATCCGCATGATGATCATTGAAATTGGAGGTTGTGAAACAAATATCACGTTTTTCAAAGTTAGAAAGTATTGATACAATAAAAACAATAAAACGTAAATTCTTAATTCTGAAGAGAGATTGTCCGTAAATTGTTCGTTATTTGCCTTAATTCTTACAAATGAAATTTTGTGTGCAACCAAGTAACTTTTCGACGACTTGAACGTAACTTACGTTGGGTCATCTTGTCTCATTCGTAAAATAAGCCTCTCTTCTACAATTAACGGTGATTTGTTAACTAAAAGAAGAAAGGAATATTACAAAACGATTTTAAGTAATAACATACTAGAAACAGTATATACGTTCATAACTAATTAAAAACGTGAGAAGAAAAGTAAAGGTAATAAAAATGTGCCATGTCATTATTTCGCATATATCAACAAATGGATTAATTAAAATTACCTATTATAATCAAATTAATGGGCCATATGAAAGAACCATTATTTCATATGATACCTTTACACAATTGGGTATTTGATGAATTACACGATTTTTGCGAATAACTTGCTTCGCAGTGCGATTTTACATTGCTTCTTCTGATTTGGATAAAGAGATTTTTCCTATAAACTAAATGAAAATAAGTAAAGGTAATAAATATTAACCAATGGCTTATATACCTGTGAAATTCTTACGTTTTATCATAAGAATACGCAATATTACAGTATATTTCAATTTAACTCCTATCCACTTCACTTACAAGATAATTCCAAGGTCCTTTGATAATTATAGGTTATTGCTCATTTTTAAACGCTTTATGTTTTTTAAATGTTTTACGCGCTTATTCAGTTTTTTATATGAGGTGAAGCAATTATATGTAGTCGGATTCTTAAATTTATATTAATATTTAATGAATTGGATGGGAAGATAACTTATACATACCGAAATAAATGTGCCGTTTTACTGGTACTTAGTCCAAATTTATCAATTAATATCTAATTTTATCTTATTCATTATGAATAAATAAATTTTTAAATTTAAAAAAGATGTGACTAACTTCTTTCCTGATTTTTTTTTCATTCAAAGCATTCAAGTCTAAAAATTAAATTTATTCGGTGCTTGATTTCGTTCCGGGCATTTATTAAGGTAAGACCTGATATCCATTCAAAATAGTATTTGATGATCGTACAGTATATTCTTTTGTATACCCTAGCGATCAAGCTTATGACCGGATTATTGATGATGATGAAATAGTAGTGATGCTAAAAAAGATTATCATTCGTAGAATGAACGAACATTGTAATAAAGGATGAGAATAATGAGAATACAAGAGGAGTAGGAGTAATTTCAGTAACGATACATTAACAGAAACATCAAATATGAATATTAGTAATCTATATCATAAAGCTTCTTGTATAATATTGTATAAAATTTTTTATAATATAGTGATATACAGTCTACTCGTTTTATAGCGAAGTTGGTGGTTTGGTCGGTCAGGCCTTCGTTATAAGAAAATTCGTTAACATGATATGAAAATCTGGAAATTTGGTACAGTATATTGTGGTAAATTGTACAATATTTATATTACATCTACCTATTTATTAATTAACGTTACTGTGTTAAATTTTGGATCCCCTTCACCATAATAAAAGCTATTCGCAGTACCCTTCCTAATCTTTTCCCTATTGAGCTCACGAATTTCACATCTCACTGTTTCAAACGTATAATTCAAAGAATCCTCCTTCTCTTTATTCAAATCCCAATTTCTTCAAGGATGATGACCCTGCAAAAAAAGTCGATCCGTTTTTATATTCCATCTTTTTTCCGTAATTTCCGGAATTAATAACCTTATATTATGAAATTTATCGAATTATTTACATTTTCCGTGAATAGATCCGGGAAAGGCTCATTTTTACGGAGTTTTTACAGAAATAACGGATAAAATTTTTTATAGGGTGAGTTGGACAATGGACTAGAATTTCCGGATGAAGGGCTTACATGTGATCGGTTCAATTCATTCTGTTGATCCAAATTCCTGTTGTCTTTGGGTGGACAATTGCGTAACGTTAGACAATTTCATTTCGGAGTGCTTTGATATAGGTGATATAGGTATTGAATTCAGATTTCATTCTCGAAATCTGAAATTATTAATGTAGGCTCCACCGATAGCATTAAGTTTTGTGGTTATGTTATTAATTATTGTTAAAATTTTCTGCGTCTCCAGAGTAACCAGCATTACGTTAATTAATTTTTTTGATTTCTGCAATAAGCTGAGTTCCGCAGGAGTTCATTGGCGATTTTATTATGTCCAAAAAAGCTTGTTGGAAAATTTTTTCTGATAGCATAAATCAAGAAATATGCACCAAAAAGAATTAAAAATAGAAATCGATGTGTAAGGCGTTGTTTGCAACATGAGTGCAGACATAATTTCAGTGTGAAAAAAATACCAGTTAGATTAAAAATCAAGTCAGTTTTGCGTTGTTTTTTATTTAACTTTATGAATCAAATTATTGATTTTTTTTATAGTGAGGAGTTTGCTTGTCAAGACAGTTCTGTGATTCTTTATATATACGCTTCCATGCCAAGGAATTTGTATTTACTCATCGTATATATATCGAATGTAGATCTGGAAAAATGATATCATGTCCATATCCCTTATTTCTGAAAAAAGAAATGTTAAGATCTAGACTTGGTGCCTGTACCTAAAGACGAAAAAAGTTAGCGCATTCCCGTAGCCCCATATCCTCACACGGTAACTGTTCAAACAATGAATAATATTTATCGTAAATGCTTTGGCTTCACAAGAGAAAAGTTTTATTGGTAAATATTTTATTAAAATAATCGTTTGACAGCTTTTCTATCCTTAAGTACAGGATGTATGTTTAAGCAAACCTACATGAATAAACTACATTATAAAGTCATTCCCATTCCTATTCACTTATTTCATTTGTGTCTGAAGAAAGAGAACTAGAATATCTCAGTAAATCGTTTATGTGAGTATAGTGTATCGATAAAGACGGTAGATTTTTTTTTCTGGCTCTTTTGTATATACACGAAAGGTCTTTCCTTCGTTTGTGGCGCAGTTCAGAGTAGGAAAACTTCGATGATAAAAAAATTTCAGATTCTACTAGGACCCTGAATACGATTATATCACGCTATTTATTTTATATCACCTTCGTTTGTACGGATTGAATTTTTAGTACTATTTAACATAAGTGTAACATTGTACGGATTCAAGGTTTTTGTACTGATTAACTTAGTAGTATCTAAACTTGGGTGCCGAAACTTTTCGGCTATATGCCGAAATCCCAAATTGTTGCCGAAATCCCAAATCGTTGCTGAAATCCCAAATTACTATTGGTCAAATTGTCATATGATGTTACACAAATCCAAAAAAAGGAAATTTTGTTCCCACACCATTCTTTATTAACTAAAAGACAAGAATATAAAGACTTCTTATCATGTTCAAATATATTAAATATCAAAATTGAAAATGGTCACACAAATTTCCAAAAAAGGAATTTTCTTTGCAGATCATTTCAGTCTGACCGAAAATAATTTGGGATTTCGGCAACAATTTGGGATTTCGGCAACGATTTGGGATTTCGGCAATAATTTGGGATTTCGACAATAGTTTGGGATTTGGGATTTCGTTCGGCATATGTCAAATCCCAAATATATTTCGGCATATGTAGGTTTCGGCACCCAAGTATAGTAGTATCACAATGACTTCTTCATAGTGTATTCAGGGGCTCTATTCTACTCGTCGGATTCATAAGAATAATTTTCGCAAAATTAGCGCAAAATTGGCCTTCTGGAAATAAAATCATCAGGAGACACAAATTTTATACCCATATATGTGTATACCCCTATTTCTACTCCCACGATTTGCAAAAAAATTCTTAGGAGAATAAAGTGGCGTGTAGTTACACTGAAATTATTTTCTTACTGTTCTAGTACAGTCCGACGATCTTTTTTAGTGCAGTCATGCGAATTTCGGATTCAGTTACTTACCAGTCCGAGATAGCCATGTTGAGTCTTAGTTTTGATTGTATTTTTTATAAAAATACATTTCTAATCATTTTATTTAACATCCATATTTGAATAAAATCATTCTACTACAAGGTAATTATTCATTTAATAAATCATATAAAATGTGAAATTCATTCATCTGACATATGATAACGGGTAGAACTTGTAAGGTTCCAAATTCATATGCTGCACTAAAAATTGATATTACTGCACCCAAAAGGATCATCAGACACTTTGTAAGAAAATATATATATACAGGTCCTGTTCTTTGCAGCTAGCCTACTAACACAACTCTTTACTCCACACTCTAATTCTGTTTTATTCAACATGTTATTCTTTTTTTATTGGATCCTCTACCTTGGAACCTCAGCCTTGATCTGGACTACCGCCCAAGCTCGTCCACGATCATCTCATGGTGTCATAAAGCGTGAGCTAGGTCACTTTGAAGAACGCTACATCAACACCCTGAACTACAAGCTACATAACGAGACCGTCAAGTTGATCGGTTATAAGAAAATCAAGATCCCACTTGAGGAAATCGATGCGTTCGAAGACCACTGCTTCACGAACTATGCCGAGCTGCAGAAATTCGATTCTAATTTCTATGATTAGGCTTCGATTGAGCTCCGCGTCTACTTCCCGGTTGCTGGTGCGCTAATCGAGCATCAAGGATCCATGATAGAAGCTAACGAGCTTGGTGAATTCGAAATCAAAGACGTCGATAGCGATTACGTAGTGCTTGGTCGGAAACAATCAGGTCGCGTCCAAGGCGTCCAAGGCAACATCATCAAAGACGGCATCATCTACCTCGCAGACCAGGCCATCCAACACACCAAATCGGCAATGTTTTCGTGTATGACTTTGGATACAAGAGCCTTGACCACAACCACGATCACTCTCACTCCAAGCGTAGCAGCGGCACCTGTATTGAAAATCATGGAGGAGAGAATTGCAGTGACGCGTACAATATTCATGAAGGGCGGTGTCCGGAGAATCACCAAGTGTGCATGGATTATAATGGGTATTTCACGGATTGCAAGAAGGAGAATAAGTACTTATATTTTACCGGAAGTGATTGCTATGTTTCTCTTAGCAAAGGAAACTGCTGGAATGAAATTATGTAGGCGAACGGTAATAATTATATATTATTAGAATAAAATATTATCTTATTCAGATATAAGAATAAAGTATTTTTAACAGATTCTAAAAAATTTTTTTATTTATATTTATTACCTTTTAAATTTTCATTCAATAATAATTTTAGTCAACTTTTTATAATAAAAAGATGCATCATACATATTTTAAATAAACAAATTTTTCGATTCAAAAAATTTTGAAATTTTTTTTCTTTTTATTTGACCTCCTCAAATAATTGAAATAATTGCCGCAGCTATATATTTCTTATACTCAAAACATGGATTTCAATATGCTATATGTTAATTAATTAATTAAAGTAAATTATTTTATTAGTCAGAAATCATATGAAATCTTTAAAACATGAACGCTGCAAAGAGCAACACCGCATTATTGGGAAGAATTTTTTAAATGTGTATCATTATAAGGTTGTCTGTTCTACAGTTTAAGGGATAATTAATTAACTATAGCCCGATAATAGGAGCGCTATCAAGGAAAATGAGATCTCGGGAATTTAAGTTTATATCTTATTTGATCAATGGTATATGTTTCGAAATCAAATTTGATTACTTATTATACATGATTTCAGATTTAAATTTCCAAAGTCTTATTTTCTCTTGGCAGATATATATGTTCCTGGAAGTGAAAAAGTATAAAAGTAACTTGTCTGCTAAAATATGCAAAATTAAAATAATATATTTTCTGATTCGAAAGAACACATCTACTGCATATAAATTATGACCACTTTATTCTCCTTTGAAGCACCACTACCAGTTTCATTTTTCATAGCCGGCCCGTTTATTCATGTAATATTTTATGAAAGTGTAATAGAGGCCTTTGAATTTTTTCGTTAAAAAAACATATACGTGTTATTTGTTAACAATACACATAAAAAATAAATTACATGACGTGATCTATTTTAAGCATTACTCGTTATTGCTAAGAAAAATAAAAGTCTCACCAATTGATTGTGACATAGCACATCAGACTTCCTTCCTATAACCGAAACCTATTTGTCACATATGTATCACATGACAATATATGTTATTACTCACATCCTAGCCTTTCATAAGATTATTAATTCCGGAAATATGAGCCTTTTACGGAAAAAAGAAAACGGATTGAAGAAAAATTTTTTTATTAATACAATGATAGCGTGACACACCACGATAAAAATAAATACAAATGCGGTGGTTACCAGAGGTAATCCACCTTGGTACATGACGTTACTACGTTTCCATTCTAATATTCTATCTATTTATCCGGTTTTACCGGTTCCTGCGATTCGATCCGGCTAATCAAACACCCATTTGATTTGCTCAACCAAGTCATTGATGATAGGCTACAAGTTGTCATGGATCAATAATTAGTAACGGAGAGGGTGACAACGAACTTAACAACCTGGACGAAACTAACTTGATTATTACCCAATCCAAAACAGTTGATACAATTCCGTACATTCCCTAGCCCAATCAACAGGACCTCTGCCATACTTCCGGAGATTTAGTACTGAGGATAAACCTTTATTTCACCTCCATATGTTGATGCCATACCATAAATGACACGGGAAATTCAAACGGGTAGCTTCGTTGGCGCTAGTGATGTGTTGAGATGTTTGTGCAATCTCAAAAATTCCCTATAATCAAATTCGGATATCTTCTGGCGTATCCTTAACACCTCCAACTAAAGTAGGTAGTTCATTATAATCGTCTGCCTTCAAGCCGAAGAGTGCCTTCATCTATCAAACCTCCACGAGGAGAATGGCTGTTGTGCTATTTGCGGAAATACATGTTAGTATCTGTTGTGTAAATATCACGAAAATAAAATCCAACTAATGTGAAACATTACTTATATGTGTCCACGATAATTGAGAGGCCTACTTTGAATCCCTGAGACCAGATTATACACACTAAGTCCTCATCATCGACCAAACGAATAAGTTTCTTTCCATTCTCACGATTTGCTCGTCCTCAGTTCCATCAGGAAAAGTAAAACAAGTTCGAAGCCTCGTCTTCAAAGCTGATAAGTTATTTGACCACGTGTTATAAGTAATGCCATTAGATTATTAATACTATCGGTATGTTGATTTAATAAAAAAAATAATAATAATAAAAAAAGAAAAAATCGGTATGTAGATTTAATTTGATGATAAAAACAATGTATAATAATACTAACAAAAACCGACTAAATATTGTTAAGTGAACTTATTAAAACATTCACTATTTCTTCTTTTCTCGCAATCATGTTAATTGGTTGAATGCAGTCACATGTATACTGCGGCCCCAGACTTTAACCGTTATAACAGTATTAGAATTCATTAATGGATATTCCAATTTCGACAATTCATTTCAACAATTCATTTGGACAATTCATTTGATAATTTTCTTTCAAATATTTACGTATGAAGATTTTAACATCGTACTTTAAATCGAAATTTAGGCACATCAATTTTGTCATTTGATATTAAAAAAAAAAAGTTCATATTCACGTAAAAAAAAAATAAAATAAAATATTTATTATAACGATAAATACATAAACTTATCAAGTATGTTATTAATAGATTAATAGATTTCTATGAGAAAGTATAAATTAATAACTATCCTATAAAAAATTTTCTGAGAAAAATTCCGATAAATGATCACTTTTCTAGTTTTCATCAATTTTCTAAAAAATTTTTTATAATATATTTTTACTTTTTCACAGAAATCTATCAAAAACATACTGAAAGTAATAATTTATACTTTCTCACAGAAATCTATCAAAAATCCTGGAAATTCACTTTCAGGATTTTTTGATAGATTTCTGTGAGAAAGTATAAATTATTACTTTCAGTATGTTTTTGATAGATTTCTGTGAAAAAGTATAAATTTTATACTTTCAGTAGGCGCATTTGGCGGCCTTTGGAGGTTATCCTGGTATGTTTGTCCCGTAGGGGAGAGGTAGGGAGGCACATGTGCCCTGGGGAGCGTAGCCACAACCTTCCTCGACGACGGTGTAAAAATTATTACTTTCGGTATGTTTTTGATAGGTTTCTGTGAATAAGTATAAATTATTATTACTTTCATTAAGTTTTGGTCTGTAAGCTAATCCTTGATTTCTAGGAATAGCTAATAAGACATATTCGTAATCTGAATCTTGTAATGGTTCATAATCTGCCATATTTGATACTTCGTTTGTATTTAGAAAATTATGATCTGACGTATTAAGATAATTGTATTGTTGCGCGTTATTGATTTGATCCATGTTGCAATTAACATTATTGATTTGATCATAATCATAAGCGGATGGTGTAGGAAAGTTTGTTGAAATAGACGAATAATTGGTGGAAGAAAACTCAGTTAAACCCGATTGTATATTATTGTCATCAAATCCTGCATTACATGAAAATAGTTCTTGTGATTCCAAAAATGATGATGATGTAGTCGGAGTGATAAGTGAAGAAGGCGAAGATATCGCCGGAGAGTTTGATGGAAAAGGGGATGGTGTATTAAGAAAATATGATAGAGAAGGCGAAGATATCGCCGGAGAGTTTGACGGAAAAGGTGATGATGTTTCGGTTGATAGAGAGAGCATAGACGTGACCGGAGAAGAGTTAGACGGAAAAGGGGATGATGTATTAAGAGAATATGATAGAGAAGGCGAAGGCATCGCCGGAGAGTTTGACGGAAAAGGGGATGATGTTTCGTTTGATAGAAAGGGCATAGACGTAACCGGAGAGTTAGACGGAGAAGTTGAATATATATCCAGAGAGTTTGATGGAGGAGGCGTGGATGTAATCGGAGAGTTAGGCGATGATGACCCGTTTTCTTCATAATTTACTGCTCCTTTGTCATACCAATTCTTCGCTATTCTAGCACAAGCTTCATACAATTCTTTTTTTTCTTTCGGTTCACGTTTCCAACGATCCCTGATTTTTGGCAATCTATGTTTAGCTTCCATTTTATCAAATTCTGGTAGATTATAATTATCTCTCATATATATAATGAAGGAATTTGGCGGCTTTGTGTGTTTTCCAGTTCTTTTTTTAACAATCCTTGGATTTTTAGAGGGAGTCAATAATTCAATTATATCAACGTTGAATTTATGATTTGAGCGAAAAACAAGTTCTTCATCGTCAATTTTTACATTTAAATTGAAGTTAATAGGTACATTAGGGTCAGGAGGATTTATTGTAGACGAACCCTCATATGCAAGGAACTTGTATTTTTTAGTCATTTTTTTTTGGATTTTTTGTTGAAAAAACGAAAACGATTTATCTTTGCTTTTATGTTTTATTCCACAATGTATAATATTGTTCTGGTTTATTTTTTTTTCAAGTATTTATTTCAAAGCCATCGGAAGTTGTTGATCATTTTATTGACGTATAAAATTTTAAAAATGTTTATGTAAGAATGTGGCAATAAATTTTGCTGATCGTATTTTTTTTTGCTTTTGAAGGCGAATTTCCTTTTTTTCCATCCCTGTTTTGTTTTGAATGTTTCTGACAGCGGTTTTCCTTTTTTTGACTTTATGAAAAAGTAGATAAAAATCAATCAGCCTTTTCCATATGGCAAAGGGATGTTTATCATAATTTTCATATTTTTTTTGTGTAAAATGTGTTTCTGAAGGCGATTTTCTTTTTTTTTGTCTAATATTAAAAAATGTGGAATTTTATGTCCGGTTGTTACAAATCACACTTTTTTTTATATTGCTGATCATATTATCTTATTGCTATTTTTGTTTAAGTTTGAATGTTTCTGAAGGCTTTTTTCTTCTTTTGTCTAGTATGAAAAAAAATGTAATGATTTTTTTGTAAAGGATTTTCCATTAGAAGTTAGGAGAACAAACTATTAGGGCTTGCGTAATTACCGATAACGTCATATGTTAACACAAATTTCAATGATGAACCGATAATTGGTGCACTCTTCTTTGTAGATCATACACAAAAAAAAAGAATTTTAGAATGGAAGCATTTAAGATGATTAATATTCTATTTTTTATGTGTTACTTTGAAAAACATCTATTATTTCTTTGTACGCACTAAATTCATCTCTTATTTAGTTAGTTGCATTTAGAAATCATGGATTAAGAAGAATATTTAGGGAGGAGTTAATTGACATAACTATTGTTGAAATGGGACTAAAAATTTTGTCAATTATAATAATCTGACGAAACTTATAAAATAAATAAAACTTAAACCTGGAATGTTTCTTTATTTATTCGTATCATTAGTATAATGCCGGATTGCTAGTATCTCTCCTATATTTATTTCTATTTGAAGATACTGTTATAGTGTTATACGAAAATTTTATAACTGATAGTTATAATTTGCATTTATGTAATTTAAAAAAAAATTATTGAAATCTTCATATTTATATGTTCATATGAAAGAAAAATTGTTCTTAAAGTTTATAATTAAACTTTATATTAATAAAATACGAAAATTAATTATTTAAACTTTTAATATTACAGTATATATTCGAGCGCTATGTTTATTACTAACAAACACTGTCGCACAAAAACAACAGCTACGTCACGGTCGTCACGTCGTCACGATAAATAATACAAGGTATAAATGATACATTTTCATTGGTCAATCGCACGGCGTGACAGACAGAATTCTGCAATCACGTTTAATTGATCTGATTGGGCGTTACGTAATACCAGTGGTTATATGAATAAAAATGGACTAGAAAAATTGTTAAGTTTTGTTTATAATATTTGTAAAAATAAATATAAACTTAATGATTTTAACCGCCTAGTATTCCGCATAAAATATAAAATATTCTTTCAAGCGTAACCCTCAGGTATGTATAATGCGCGGCTTAGGAATCTTAAATTTGGTAAAATTAGGATAATTTGTAATAAAAATATTATTTTCAATTTATATTTGATAAAATATTATTCAACTTAACCTTTGCTTCTTTGATTCCATTATGTGTAGCTTTTGTACCAATAAATTGCTTTATGGTAGAACTTTCCTATATATTTTGTTCTGCATTTCCACGCACCTTCAGCTGATTTTAAGAACCATTCAGATGCTTTTGTTTCGTTTTTATCCACCCCTTTACCATAATTATAGTAAATTCCTATATTCAATTGTGCCTCTCTGCATATCCATTTTCGGCAGATTTAAGATTCCATTCAAATGCTTTTTTTTCATTTCATAGCAAAATCCCAAATTACATCCCTGAAATAGCAGATTTGGTATACCATTCGAATGCTTTTTTTTTCATTTTATCAGTTCCTTTACCATAATTATAACAATTTCCCAAATTATTTTGTGCTATTGATAACCATTTTCTGCTGATTATCTAATAATATAATGGATAAGTAATTAGAATTAAATGGACTTAATGATTTTATTTATCGATTTTTAAAAGTTTGCCAACAGTATGATTAACATAACCCTACACCTATTTGGCAAAATTGATTGGATGAAATTGAAAGTCATGTGACTGCTCAAAAATTTGGTATGACGTTATTCATATTTTCGGCCAATCAGAAATCTTTCACCGTCCCTTCTAATTGGTAGAACTTAATTGAAATTTTAAAGAATAATAAAAGGTAATAATTTTTTTTAAATATACTTAGTTCTATTCATACATAAATACTGAGAATTTATTATTATTATTATTATTTTATTTTGATTTAATTTATAGTTAGTTACGTTACTTCTAATAAATGCACTAAAATGGTTTTCCATTTATAGATCACGGGTTTGTTTTCATGTCGATCAAAGCAAATAAGTTACTTTGTGGCTTTTTCGTGTAAATCAAAAAAAAGTTAGTTGATGTTTGTAATAGGTTACTTGTTGTTTTTTTTTATAACACTCGATTTATTAATTTATAGGTTATACCATACAAATTAAGTAAGAACATATTCTTAAAAGAATATTCTATTTTCACAATTATAAATAGCGAATGTTTTATAAATATTAGACAGTTTTTTTTAAGTTTTATACAAGTTAAATTGATAATGAATCAATTAACAAATAATAATAAACATGAAATTTCAAATGACACAACTTTAAAAAAAGCCAAAGTTGTACCAAAACGCAAGATAAAAATATTATGTAATGAATGCAATCAAAGAAGAGAATTATTAAACGAAAGTCATCAAATTTGTCACATTTGTTTTAAAGCAAAATCAATATATGAACAAAGTGGAAATAAAATTATTGATGACTTTATTAAACATACATTAATTAATGATGATAAATTTGCTGGTAAAATGATATTTGTTCCTTATGATCGATTCAAAAATGTAAATTTTATTGCTGAAGGTGGTTTTAGTAAAATTTATAAAGCTATTTGGATTGATGGTCCAATTCGTGGTTGGAGTAAGAAAAATCAATATTATACTCGCGTTAAATCTAATTATGATGTTGTTCTTAAAAGGCTTAATAATTCTAAAGATATCACTTCTAAGGAGCTTAATGAGGTGAATAATATACTGTATATACAGTATATATATATATATATATATTTTATAAATTTTATTAATAATAATCCAAAATATTAATTAAAATAAATTTTTATTATATTTATTAATTAGCTCAAAGTATTTTATGAATTTTCTTTAAAATATCAAACGACTTACAGCAATTGTGTTGGTAAATATTTTGGAATTACTCAATATCCTATTACTCAAGACGTTATGATTATTATGCCATATTATCCATTAGGTGATTTGACAAATTACATAACTAATGACTTTTATGATATTAGTTGGAAAACAAAGTTGGATAAATTAAAAAGTATTATAAACGGGCTTATTAATATACATGATGCCAATATTGTACACAGAGATTTTCACAGTGGAAATATCTTTTTTCGTGATAAATTTCCATATGTATCAATAGGTGATTTGGGAATAAGTAAATCTGCAACTGAATCTACAGATGATAACGAAAATTATGGTATTATTCCTTATATGGCACCAGAGATTTTTCGAGGTCAAAAATATACCAAAGCTTCAGATATTTATAGTTTTGGAATGATTATGTGGGAGTTTATGACGGGTAGAAGACCTTTTTGGGATAAAGTTCACGATACAGAACTCATAATTGAAATATATAAAGGTTCAAGGCCACCAATTGTTACAAATGCGCCTGAAGATTATGTTGATTTAATGAAAGAATGTTGGCATTCAGATCCAAATAAAAGACCAACAGCTTTATATGTATTTGAAGTAATGTGTAATATTTATAGTAATGAACGAAAAAATAAATCTAGAATCATAAAATCATCAGATATTGGTCCTGTAAAAATAAATAATCCAGGTGCTATTTATAAAAGTAGACCTATAAGTAGTATGAGTAGTATGATTCAATCTGCGATATCTACAAGAACTTTATCTACTGGAAGTTTAACAAGTCAATCTATAACTTCAGAAATTGGTAAATAAATGATTGTTATTTTTGTTATTTTTATTGAGTAATTTTATATACAGTATTCATTATTAATTTTTATATCTTTTTTAAGATAAAAGGAAGTTTGTAGATAATCGAGTTGAAAATGATTTGAATGAAGGTTTGATGAAAAAAAAATAAGAATTTTATATAATTTATGTATGAATTTAGTTGTAATCAATATTATTAATAATATTCTTAGGTAAAAGTAATAAAAAGATTAAATTAGTCGAAAATGAAAATAATGGTAAATATTTATATTTATATCTATTTTTAAATACCGCTTATTATAAACACATTTTTAAATTTAATTAAATTTAAATTTAGATTATCTTACAGAAGAACTTGAATTGGATATTAATATAAATCCTGAACAAAATAACAATGAAAGTAAGTAAATATATAATATAATTTTAATGAATATTTGTTAAATTCTCATCTAATTAATTCTCTTAATTTAGAATACATTACCCAAGAAATCGATTTTGATATTTGAATGTATTTAAAATCAATCGTTTAAAATTTCTGTAACGGTAAATATTTGTTGTCTAGGTTGTACGAAATTATTTATATTTCATAAATTTATAACTTTATTTATTTTAATAAACGTGAATAATAATGTATAAAATAATCGTTAACCTAAATTATAAGAATAAATATTAAGAGTTTTAAAGAATTATAGTATAAAATATGTTATTAAGGCGATTCTTTTCCATCTCTATCGAAGAATTTATTCCATATTTTTTAACTGAGATCCAAGGATGATATTAGGCGTACAGTTAATGTTGATTGGAATGTTTCGTACTGTTGGTATAAGAGTTAGAAGGTGTGGAAGTGAGAATTGGGATTGGTTTGGAAAGGAGAGTTGAGATTTGGTTTTTCGAGTAAGAGATTACCTCTCTAGTTCCGAACTTGAATGCAGCAGAAATTTTTAATTGGGAGATCAAATGGTCTATCATGTTTTTCACGCATACTGTAGCTAGTGGAACGTGCTTATATCTTCGATCGTGTTGAAGTGAATAATTCCGTGTCTGAAAATCATGAAGTTATGTCATGTTAGTACGAAAGAATACTAATAAGTTTAACAAGCTGCAACGTTGTATAGTAACGATTTTTTGAACAGGTGATATTGAATAAAGTAAGTTTTAGCGTTGATAGATTTCAAAAAAATTAAAAAGGTCCCCTGCAAGAACACTACGAAGGATACCAGCAAGCTTATGGAAAAATTGTTGTATAACGTGTGAAAATGCATATGACTTGGTGGATATCCAATTTTCTAATTTTCTATTTCTTTCTTGGATACATTTACTGAATTACCGCTAAAATACATACTCATCATGTCTGACTCGCCAGCCTTTGCACGTAGTTTTTTCTGTAATAAACAAGTGTGGAGAGTGAGCAAGTTGAGTGAATAAAGATTGAAAATTTTTTAAAAAAAAGAGTGAGTGAGGAGCGAGTGAGTGAGTGTGAGTGAGTGAATGAATGAATGAATGAGCGAGTGAGTGAGTGAGTGAGTGAGTGAGTGAGCG